GGGGGATTTTCAGAGTTGCTCTTATTTTGTTTTGGGGGCTGGATAGAAGGGGTTTGTGATGGATGTTTTGAAAGATTGTATAGGCGAAAGGGGTGGGTTTGCGGTAATTTGTTAGGGCGAATTGGATGGATCTAATTTGTCGAAGAGCTAAGAGAGAAAGACGTTTGCATAGATTTAGAGTTTTGCATACAGATTAAATATTCTTTGTATCTTGGCTTAGATCACACAACAGTATTAGCTGATAGATCTTTGACTGAAATACAACTTCGATATGATTATCCTGGCGTCAATGATTACCTTAACATCAGAATAGCTTTCGGGTGTCTATTTTTTGTTTCTAGGGTAAAATAACATTAATCTCCTAGTTTTATAATATATGCCTAGTTTTCAAGGTTACGGAAGTGTTCCCAGTCATTGTGTCTCATAATCTTCTCATAACAACTAAGGACGTAGGTATGATCGTAGAACCCCAGTGCGTTGCAAGACTGACGGAACATCTTCCATATCATCCTGTGTAACAAAGTTAGAGAAGCGTCTTTTCAATACACCGGCCTCGACAAGCATGTTTACGCTTGTAGAAATGGACAGCATAGTGTATTCACTAAAACAATTGACTATACAAACAGTTCGGACAAAAGTTTTGGCTGTCTTTTGTAAGAAGATGCTGTCAGACTTGCCGCCTACTGGTTGACTAATAATAGCGACTGTAAAACAGCTGAATTCAGAAAATCACATCTTGTAATCAATATTTCATGTTATTTTAGCAACCGCAAATAGTGGAAAGCTGAGCTTATGGATCCGCCCCCTTTGGAAAACAAATTAAGCGAGTGAATGTATTCAACTTGAAAACTCGAACGACACCGAACACTTGAGAAGTCTGACTCCATCCGATCTACAGACTCAGATAGATTTGTCTCAAAATCCCTTCAACACCATCAATTCCAACACAACCCTCGAAAATGTCGATTCTTTGACACCCACGTTCCAACCAAACTCACCATCACCATCAAAAACCATCGAAACCAGTTTTGTAACTCAAAACGCTCAAACAAACCAACCCGCACCTCACAACCTTCACCACCGTCAAAATGTGCCTCATCCTCAAAGTCCACTACACATACTGCATCTGCCACAAAACAATCCTCCTCCCCTGCCCCTCCAAATCCAGCACAACCTCCTCCCTCCTCACCACCCTAATCACCAAGAACCACGGGCTCATCGACCTCCTCCGCTCCTCCACCACGCTAACCCACCTCGCGCGCTCCGCCCTCTCAACCTCCACGCTCGACAAACTAAGCCGCTTCTCCACCTCCACGCCAAACACAAAACACACATCCGCGTCCGACAAGTTGGTCGGGAAATTAGTCCGCGGTCCAACAGTCAGCTGCGCGCTGCTCGGCGGGATCTTGGAGATCGAGAAAGGCGTGAACACGTGTGCGGTGCTGGAGACGAGCGAGTGGTTGGAGCCGCTGGAGGGCGCGTGTACGGCCGAGGAGGAATGGGGGTGTGTGCAGGTGAAGGAGGCGTGGAAGTTTGATGAGGGGAGGAGGCGGAATGAGGGGTTTGTGTTGACGGAGTTCTTGGATAAATGTTATGTGTATGCGGATCCGATTGTGTGGGATGAGGATGGGGATGGGGATGGGGATGGGGATGGGGATGGGGAGGAGGGGATGAGGGTTGTAAGACCGGTGGGGGAGAGGAGTAGGTCGGAGGAGAGTCAGTTGTATGCGCCTGAGATGCATGCGAGGTCGCATAGTTTTTCGTAGGCTGGGAGTTTGTGAAGGGATGTGTTGTTTGTCATAGTAAGGTGTTGTAAGGACCGGACAGTGGATGAAGAAGACTGACGAGATAGTGCTTCAGCCGTGGGTGATGCATTCGAGATCGTACAGTTTGTGGTAGACTGGAGAGTTGAGAAGTGAAGTCTTGTTGATAATTAAACGTTGTAGAAGTACATAATAAATAGCTCGATGCCGGAGTCTATTAAAATCTTGGGTATCAGAATCTCCACCTATTAATACAGAGCGAGTTGGCAGTCAATTCAAGCCGCAATAGGCTTTTCTTTCAGACTCTCCTCTTTGACACTTTCCTCTCTTCCAGACTCTTCATCTTTAGCCTTCTTCCCTGTACCCTGACCGTCACCCTTTTTAATATTTTTCCACTCCAGACCAAAGCATACGAACAATGCTGCGATAGCACAAGCGGTTGATATCCAAAAAGTATGCGTCAATCCGTCTACATAACCTTGTAGTACCACTTCCAGTCTATTTTCTGCACCCAAGCCAGCTAGGATGGATCGGATTTGTGTCGCACCACTTCTGAGGAATATTTGTGGGTCCAGTTCTGGTGCTCCTCTTGAAATGTTATCCGTGAGACCGTGTTGGAACAGAGATTGTGCTACCGCAATGAACAGGGCTCCACCTAGGGACTGGAAGAAAGACACCATGGCGGTAGCAACTGGTACATCTTTCAATGGAAGAACAGTCTGAACAACAAGAACGCTAGCCTGGAAGCCAACACCAATCCCCGAACCTGCTAAGACTTGATAACCGAACCATTTGGGTAATGGGGTATGAAGGTCGAAAGTCGTAAGAAGCCCAGAGCCAATGGAGAAGAGAATCATGGAAACAATTTGAACGGGAACATAGTATCCAACAGCTGTAATAAGTCCACCTGTGGCAATCGATGAGAGAACGGTTGCAATAAGAAGTGGTAGCAGTTGAATTCCGGCTTGCGTTGCGGTTGACCCTTTGACACTCTGAAAATAGATTGCGATGTAGAAAATGAGCACGAAAAAACCGGATCCGAAGAAGAATGCAAAAGCAAATGCGCATAGAACGTTTCGGTCTTTGAAGAGTCGTGGTGGAAGGGTTGCTTTGTCACCTAGCTTCAATTGGGAAGCGACGAAAATGCAGAATAATATTCCAGCACCACAGAACAGGCCAATAACTTTCGCACTCTTCCACGGATATGTGCTGCCACCCCATTGTAGAGCCAACAAAAACATGACAATGGTCGGAATGATGATCGAAGCACCAATCAAGTCGAGTTGTAGGATTCGTTGCTTGATGGTCAGATTATCTGGGTTATTGATGCGTTTGATTTCGAGGAGGAAGAATATCAGGACAATTGAGATTGCTCCAATTGGCAGGCTACATCCGTCAGATACTTTTCAAATCGATTCTGTTGCCATGTCTTATGACTTACTTAATGTAAAAGCACCATCTCCAGGAAACTTTGTCAGTAAAGACGCCTCCCAGTAAAGGTCCAGCGACACTCGCGATACCCCACATTCCACCAATGAGTCCAAACGCGATTGGTCTTTTACGGAGGGGTACTGTATGAAGTTAGCAGCTGTAATCGAGCAAGTCTCATCTCAGACCACTTCAAAAATGACTTACAGCAGAATGCCAGGATATTAATCGCACCACTGAACAATCCTCCGACTCCCAGTCCAGCTACGGCTCTTCCAACAATAAGAGCCGTGCTTGTTGGCGCGGTAGCACATACAAGTGATCTGTAAGTCTTTAGCAATGTACAACATAAGTCAGGATGGCTGAATTTACCCTATTTCGAATATGGCGATGGCAGTCATAAAAGTCCATTTGATCTAATGGAATGTTAGAATGTGCCTGAGATACTTCCCTGGGAAATTGGCAAATCCATTCGAAAATACATACATTGAAAATGCTATAGATTTTTCCAAAACTCGGTTGTAGGGCGGTAGTTGTCAACAGGTATGAACTTCCATACCAGCCAATATCCTGCACACTACGGAACTGATCCGTAATTTTGGGAATCGCCGTCGAAATGATAGTCTGGTCCAGGGCGACCAGGAAAACTGCTAGACATAACGCGCCGAGGATCAGAGCCAATTTCAGACCATGTGGATATTCAGCGTCTTCTTCGGCTAACGTCTGGGCGGCATCGTCCTTTTCTGTTTGGATAACTTGTTCCTTCGAAGACTCTACCACGGGTTCTTTGACGTCTTTCGATGCGGAAGTTGGAGAGGGAGGTGTTTTGGGCCTAGACGAATCCATTACTGTCGTCGATGTTGTTGTCGTCGTCGTGGATGCAGGCTTGGAGTCGGTGGAAGGGAACTGATTAGGGGTGGCTTGAGACATCTCTGCGCATACGCTCTTGCCCAAACAATAACTGCAGGATCGAACTTTGGTTCTATAACCTTGTGAATGTTTTGAACCGATTCACGACGTCAGGAACTCCATATGTACAGGTTTAAGAGGACATTCGCGAGACAGAAATCTGAGAAGAAATATTTCCCAACGCTCCCTTTTCAAAATATCTACCAGGTTGATCTCCACGCCCTGTACATCCCTTGCTATACGCGGGTCATCCATCTCGCCTGTCATAGCTTAAGAGGGAGGAGGTAATTAGACCAATCAGAGGAAGTTTTTTCGTTTGACGCGGAGAGAGTACGAGTCCCGAAGTCCGACTAGTAGGTACCCTTGACAGCCTTATGAGTGGATGGACATTCACATGGACATTGAGGTGGACATTTTCGATGGGCCTAGTGTTGTTCTTTTCGTGTTTTGGTACTACTACTGGGACGAAATATTTTTGCTTCTTGTATACATAAGATCATTAATATCCATCGCAATATGAAAGTATTTCCTCCCTGGAAAGAGGAGGATAATATCGACGATACCCTTCTGTTTTGCACAAGGCAGCTGAATCCGAGTGACGTTTGGCGTACGACCGGTAAATTCTAGAATCAGTCAAAGCCAAGCAAAATGTTGTGTCCTTCTCCGTTCCAGAGCGGGTGCTGGCCAAGACTGCACTACTTTATATCTCGGGTCCGAAGGGTCTCGTGAACATCTATCTTCCGAGCGCAGACTCCGAAATACTTCATCTTCATGAGCCTGAAACGGATTTACCTGTTAAGTGACTTTGCGCAAAGCATACTATCTTGGGTATCGTCACTGTGGCCCTGTGTTTTCAGTAGGGCGGTCTTTCCAAGATTCTGCGTGACCTTTCACGTGCTAGCCTATGGACCGAATTTGTGCGGGCGAGACCACTAAAAATCACTTATCATCGTGGAGTAGACATAATATAATCTTCATCAACGCTAACGAAATGGCAAGAGGATTCTAATGGTGTCTGAATCGGCTAAAACTGCAATCGGCAGTAGAACCCCATCTTCAGCATCTGCATTAAACCGAGTGTTACTGAAAGAGGACAGCTTACCTCTGCACAGAACTTGGAACTAATTTGGGAAGCGAAAATGATCAGGATACCAGTACATTGCAAGACAAAAAGGACACCCTCCGAATGAATAGAAACATTTTTTCTATTACAAGAGATAACCTCACATATTGACTCTGGCAGCCAGGGCCTTTGGACTCGAATCTATCGTGGTCCTACCATAAGGAGGTGCCCGCCAGAATCAGTCAAGTACGGACGCCTGTGAGCCTACTTCGAAGCCTTTCGAGAACCACCAGGGCATCTTTTAGACACGAAGGACGTGTTTACTTCGAAGTACCAGGCATACAAGAGAATATGATATGAACAAAGGCACTGCGAAAGACGAAACGAGAAGTCTGTGAATAATCAGGGAAGCAAGCCCTTTGCTCTATTGAAACGCAAAATGAGTTATCCCGAACACCAGCTGGAGAACCCACCCATCAGAAAATTCGAAATACGAACAAAATTCGATCGCGTCAAACAACACGCAAAAAGCAACCATAGCAAACAGGCAAACACAAACAAGAACGAAAGATGAGCCGACACGTACCAAATGGCAAGGCAGACTTGAGCCTTCCAGCAGATGGAAAGGTGCACCGTTCCGTACCCGACAGGTTGAGTACACAGCTAAAGATCGACCCTCATCATTGGCTCTTCGAGTATCCATCTGCTGATAAGTTTACTGATTCTCTCAATCGGTGAGTCAAGATGACGCAGCTGAGGCTGGAAATGGATGCGGTGGAACACCAAATCGTCCAAGGCGAGGAGATGCAGTGCGGTCTCATTCTAGGTCACGTCTTTTCGTGTTTCGCGTGTTGCGGGGAAAGGAGCGGAGCCTTGACAGGGAAGCGAACAGCAAACGGACTCTGCATTCCACTTATCACTTTTGCGTGAAGTTATATCACATTTACATTCATATTATCATTCCATTAAAACTGATCATTTATAGGAGGAAAGCCCCTCTTCATTCACTCTCGATATGTTTATCGTCTTCACGTGGACGCGCACACAGGATTTTTGAAATTTATCAAAACTCCCTTTGTTCCTCGTTCCTCTTCCCTCGTTCGTTCGTCATCCACAAAAATCAACCACCAACAACCAGTCTATCGGAACACCCCCTTAACCCCGGTCAAGATCCACGCTCAGACGGACGCAAACCTACAGTACAGCCTTCGTGGCATGGTCCTCACCAGACCGCTCATTGCCTTGCATTTATCTTTTTCAAGAGATACCTTTGTTCCTTTTCACTGACAACATCCACCCAAATTCTCCATCTTGCTCTACACCCGGTTACTACCAGCTGGCCGACCCGAATTAGCTCCCACTAGCCTCCGCTCAAGGCTAACCAGCCTAACCTCAACTCGAGCCCCTCCCCACTACACTTACTGTGCGTCCTCGAATGTCAACATCCTCAGTTCTTGCTTTCGTCTCAAACTGAATCCCTCAGGTTTGCCATCTTCACCTTTGTTCTTTGCCATCGGCAAACCGTGCGTTGGCTGCTTTGCTGCTTGCAACACATGAAATATACTTATACGTATTTAAGGTTACCATCTACCGACCTCATTGTGAGCATTTCTACGGCTAACTAGCTGCGACACGAGACAATCTTTACGCGTCCATAACCCTATACCACAACATGGCTGACAGAGGTGGTCGTGGCCGTGGACGAGGAGGCGGTGGTTTTGATCGAGGTGGCAGAGGAGGAGGCCGTGGCGGAGGAGGCTACGGTGATCGAGGAGGAGGCCGTGGAGGCGGTCGTGGTGGTGGCTACGGCGATCGAGGTGGGTATGGTGGAGGTGATCGTGGAGGTGGTCGCGGTGGAGGAGGACGAGGACGTGGAGCTCCGGTTCCAGTCCAAGTTTTCAGGCAAGTTCTACCTCATTTCGATCACTACAGTAGCTAACTGAGATTTAACAGAGACCCGACTACACCGTTTGCTACTCCTGATGCAACCACTTTCAAAGTCGAGAATGATTACATGAACAATACTAAAGGTATCCAAGCATTGGCTACCACTACTCTTGGAAATCAATTCCCAGCTCGTCCTGGGTATGGTACCCAAGGAAAGAAGATCGTGGTCTATGCCAACTACTTCAAGATTGGGGTCCCGACAGACTTGGCTGTGACCAGGTACAATGTCGAAGTCCACCCCGAAGCCAAGGGGAGAAAATTGGCTCGTATTTTTCAGCTTTTTCTTGAGTTGCCCGAATTCGCTGGGGACATTGTCTCCGACATGTCCTCCATGGTCATATCAAGAGTTCCTCTGGAGATCTCCGATGGGTACACAAAACAAATTGTGTATCGAGCCGAAGGTCAAGAGGAGCTTTTAGAGCGTGCACAAACCTATACCATTAGGATTGTCACCCCATTGTCAATTGTGGTCTCCGATTTCCAAACACATCTCTGTGCGATCAATCCAGGCCCAGGGTTTGACCTCCGCGCAGAGTCTCTGCAAGTTCTAAATGTCATATTCAGTCACTTCCCACAACGGCAGGCAACAAGTATCACGACTGGAAAGAACAGGCATTTTTCAATCGATCGTGGTCAATCCAATCAACACAACATTCAAGTTCTCGGTGGTGGTCTTGAGTCCCTTCGTGGATTCTACTCTAGCGTCCGCGCAGCAACTGGCGGTCTTCTCCTCAACGTCAATGTATCTCATAATGTCTTCATTCAGCCGGAGCCCCTTGCGGCCTTGTTCCCAAGATTGGGCACTGGAAACAGACATACGCTGGAAAAGAAGCTCAAGCGTACCCGTGTGAAGCTGACTCATCTTCCACCCAAGATCAACAGGGCGACTAATGAAGAGATTCCTCGCATCAAGACTATTTTTGCTCTTGCTCACGTTGATGATGGCCGGGCTGAGGAACATCCTCCTCAAGTCCCATCGTTCGCTGCTGGGCCTGCAGATGTCAAGTTTTGGCTCAATGACACGCCCCCCGTTGGGGGAGCCAAAGCACCAGCCAAAGCACCAGCCAAGGGCAAGAAGCCTGCGGGCGGTCCTGCTGCTGGTCGGTATACCACCGTTTTGGATTACTTCAGGAAGAGTAAGTCGTTTGTTGTTGGGGTGCTTTATTTTACTGACACCTCATAGAATACCCAAACATTAAATTGAACCCGGCATTCCCAGTAGTCAATGTGGGTAACAAAGATCATCCAAGCTATTGCCCAGCAGAAGTTTGCACTATTTTACCGGGCCAGACTATCAAACGCAGATTGAGCCCAGAGCAAACTCAACAAATGATTACCTTTGCTTGTCGAAAGCCATGGGAGAATGGCGACTCGATCGTAGGCGATGGGAAAGCTGTCCTTGGACTCAATAACAGTGGAGTAAGTGTTAATCATCCCACCGTGTCATTGTTTAACAGTTTACTATTCTAACGCCCTTCAGGTTCGATTTAATCTTGCAGTTAGTAACAGCCTGATCACTGTCGCTGCGCGTGTCCTAGCACCTCCGGCAATCAAATATAGAGACTCGCGTATGAAGGAGACCTCCGTAGCTGTTCGTGGCGGTTCATGGAACATGGCCAACATTAAGTTTCACACCGGCAGCAACCTGGGCCCTTGGACTTTCATCGTTTTTCGATCAAATCGTGGACGTGATTTTGGCCTTCAAGACGTCCGCCCAACGGTACTCAAATTCCAGGCATTCCTAAATAGCTCAGGTATCAACGCCTCCGGGCTCATCAAGAACCCTGAGCCGCCAGAGATCATGCTTGCGGATGGACAAGAGGCTGCAAACGATGCCCAAATCAAGGGGATATTTCGCCGTATGTATGAATCATCGAGTGGGTCACGTCCGAGGTTCGTTTTGTGCATCTTGCCGTTCAATGATGTTGCTATTTATAACAGCATCAAACAAGTTGCCGATACTAAAGCCGGCATGCATACCGTCTGTTGTGTGGGATCAAAGATCATGAAGGATAACCGCCAAGAGCAGTACTTCGGTAATGTGTCTTTGAAATTCAACCTGAAAGCTGGTGGCATCAATCAGATCCTCGAACCCGCCAAGCTCGGCATCATTAGCGAGGGCAAGACAATGGTGGTAGGTCTGGATGTCACACATCCTTCCCCTGGATCAAAGGACTCCGCGCCCAGTGTTGCTGGTATCGTCGCTAGTGTTGATAAATTTCTGGGACAATGGCCAGCAGACTTCAGCGTCCAGGAGCCACGTAAAGAAATGGTCACCGCGTTGGAGGCAATGTTCTTGTCGCGCCTCAGACTTTGGGAGAAATTCAACAAAAGCCTTCCAGAGAATATCCTTGTCTACAGAGATGGCGTTTCTGAAGGGCAGTATCAACAAGTCTTGGACAATGAACTGCCGCAACTTCGCAACGCTTGTCGTCAGAAATATCCTGCAACCGCTACCAAGCAGGGCTTCCCGAAGATTTCTATCATTGTTTGTGGCAAACGTCATCACACGCGTTTCTATCCGTCGGATGAAAGCAATGCAGACAGATCGTCTAATTGCGAGCCTGGTACTATTGTGGACCGCGGTGTGACAGAAGCCCGCTTCTGGGACTTTTTCGTGCAATCCCATGCTTGTCTTCAAGGCACTGCTCGACCTGGTCATTATTATGTGATCCTCGACGAGATCTTCCGTGGCAGGGCATCAAAGCCTCCCCATCAGAATGCCGCCGATGCACTCGAGGAGCTAACACATAACATGTGCCATCTCTTCGGCCGGGCTACAAAGGCCGTTTCTCTATGCCCTCCCGCATATTATGCAGATCTTCTTTGCACGAGACTGAGATGTTATCTCTCTGATCAGTTCGATCCAGATGATGCTACTGGTGGAACCCCGAGTGTTGCTAGCGGTGCCACCGCGGCCTCGCTGCCCGAAATTTTGATCCCGGAGTCCCTCAAAAACTCGATGTTCTATATTTAAGGCTTCATATCTTTCACGACGTCTTCAACATACATCGCATCGCAACTGCCTTCTCATCTTTTAAGTCAATCATCGATTTACAAGTCACTGCTCTCTCGTCCTGTTTCGATTATCACCATACCGTCATGACACCCTGTTGCTACCAGCTCACTGTTCTCCGCAAATGAGTAATGCAAATCTTTTTCCATAGTCTTCATCAAAACCATCAAAAAAACACAGTAACGACTGCCACCTACGATCCACCTCAATCTTTACAATCTGAACCACAAATAAGCGCACATTACAAGAGAAGATATTTAGCGACAAGGAACCCTGGGTTCCTACGAATACTTTGGCATTTTCAATCGGTTATCTAATTTCTTGCTGTTCAACAGCTTGATCTATGACGGCATATATTTGAAGATGACGAAAAGATTTCTGGGAAATATTTAAATTAGTGGGCTTTTATTAGATAGCTTTCGCTAATTGTATGTTGGGGGAGTTCCTTAATTCTTGTCTTTCTTCGTTTCCTATGTGATATTTGCATGACTTGTAAGCTGTGTTGGTCTGATATTGTGTCTGAATCCAGCCATCCTCTCTCTCATTTACATAAAATTTAAGTCCACTGACGCCTGATTGGTAACTCTCAAGTTCTCCTTTTCCCACAACCTCCATCTCCCCATTCCTTCCCTCTTCCCTTCCTCCTCCCCTTCCCATCCCCTAATCAAGCACTAACGCAATACCCCCTAATCCCGCTACAACTCCCCTTGATCGCCTTCTTCGCCGTCACCACCTGGTAATTCGCACAGCGGGCAATCGCTTCCTTGCTGGCGGAGTCGGCGCTGCGGAGTATCGTGGAACAGAGGATTGTTTGGGTGGTTACGCAGGCGCATTTTGTGTGGGCGGTGCGGGTTAGGATGCACATTTTGAGATGAGGATGGAGGTTGGAGGTGGTGGATATGGTAAGGAAATTTTAGTGGGAGTGTGGTGATGGGAGTGTGATGAGGACTGGACTAGATGGGGGGGGAGGAGAGGGGGGGGGAGAGAATGAGGGGTTATGTAAGGTTTGGGTCGATGGTGTGAATAATTAATGGGATGTAAATAATCTCTTCTTCTTCGCAGGTATGAAGCTCCTACTTCATGTGAATAACATACCATAACAAGGTCATTCACAGCCAAACTCTCTACTCGACGACCTTCTAGCACAGTAGCAACAACACGCACATGATCATCAAACGTCAATTTCTATACTCTAGTTCATGAATCATTTATAGCCCTAATCTACATACCCACAACCACCCCCCTCCCCATCGCTAGCCAGACGCCATACCAAATGCCCAATCCCTACCTATGCTCACTACCCTCCCTCACCTAACTCAAATCAAAACCCGCCCCCGAATTAACCGCATACAACAGTTTCGATTTCAGCACCGAAGCCGTCGAATACCTTGGCAACTTGAGTAAATTAACACACGTACTCGTACTCGGCAACCTCGACTCATCCCCGCCCGCATCTCTAATACTGAAGCGCGGATTAAGCTGCGAGAAGCCGAGGAGCGGCGCTCTGGGCGTGGACGTCACGTATTTAAGCACCTTCCTGCGATCCTCGTCGTCGAGGTGTTTGAGGACGTGCCAGAAGAGTTTGATGGTATCGTGTTCCTGGCCGTCGTCGCCGATCTGGTAGACGCCGCCGTACTGGGTGTTTAGACGGAGGTCTTCGACGTCGATTTCAGAGGCGTCGCCGCCGACGAGCGTTTGGAGTTCGGATTGGTTGAACATGGAGAGCCAGGAGGGTTTGATGATTTCGCCGAGGCCTTTGAGGAAGGCTTGAGTTTGGCGGTAGGGTTGCAGTTGGAGACGGTGGCGCGCGACGTAGGAGACGTAGAGGAGACGGTTCTCGTTTGTGACGGCGATGTTGGAGCCATTGGGCATTAGTTCTTTTACGATTGTTTCGGAAGGTTCGCCTTCGAGTGAGACTTCGTCGACGATGGTGAAGTCGAGAGAGAAATCCTCGACATTACCGGGGTAGTTCTTCAATTTCAAGAGACCTTGGTAAAGACTCTCGTCCATGTCTCTCAAATCGTTAATATTAGCACGATAACCTGATTCGACAGCACCCCCACCTGAGGCAGCCCACTTCAGCAGGAAGAATCCCGCAAAGCCAATATCAACAAGAATACCTTCGTATAAACATTTACCCACGATTCGTCCCAGGAATTCAAATCGTTTCAGAGCGTCTTGGGTAGCATCTTGCCACTCAGGTGATCCTTCTTCGTATCCAAACTGCTTAAGACGCTGTCGGATCTCATCTATGACGACTGGATTTGGGTATAATAGATTTTGGTCGTTTGCAACAAACCATTTATGACCCTCTTTAAACGCCTCGTTAGTAACGCTGGTGAGGAACTCTTTCGTCACACCACCTCCATCAATGCCAGCTTCAGCGGTATCAAATTTATCCACGAAGGTAATTTGGATAGGTTCTTTGAGCCCTTCTCTCAAATCGTAGAATTGTTGAAACGCATCCTCAAAAAGCGACCCTCGTCGGATTTTAGCGTGGTGTCGACCCAGAAGATCATGAGCCGCCCGATGGCTTCTTGGTGCCATGCGTGATTGCTGAATCAAAGACATACGCCAAATATCGGGATCGACGTTACCATCACGTCGGCGAGATTGGTCGAGATAAACGAACTCGCGGAAGACTTGTACACGCGTCTCAAACGGAATGACGAAGGGCATATTTTGTAGGACCTCAAGTCTAGGGCCTATCGCTGCTAGAGTCTTCTTACGAGCAGCTTTCTGTTGTTGCCTCCTCATTGACTCGATTTGTACAGCACGCCGTGTCATTGAGTTGCCGACAAGAGTCATCGCATTGTTGCTCTCATAGCCATCGGCATTGGCGTCGTTCTCTTCGTCGCCATCCTCCCTGGCCTCGTGCTGTCGCTCTTCTTCCAAAACGACAGAGGGAATGAAGCCTTCCATATCAAATCGTGAAGTCATCAACCAATGCCCCTTCGGAAGGAAATGTCTTCTAGAATCTCGCTCATAAAGCATTCGCATAACACCCGTTACTAGTGTCCTCACATAGCTGAACGTCATACCAGCGACACCCGCAAAAGGTCGCTTCGAAATGCGCTTCGATTTTTGCTCATCCCGCTGTTGTCCAAAGATTGAAGAGTCCGAAGTTCCAAAGTAAGAACCAAGGCCACCTTCAATCATGTGCTGTTCATCGTCTGAGAGCTCTCCAGCATTATAATATGTCGTGAAAGCGAGGTTCTTCAGAAACAGTGTGAGCCGTTTGATATCTTCTAGTGGAAGAGCACTCGCCCTGATTCTTGAGGTAGGTGCTTCTGACTGATCGAAAGCAGATTTGCTTCCAGCAAGGAATTCCTCGTCATCCGTAAACCGGAGAACAAATATGTAGAGCTCAAGGAAGAGGAGTATCGTGCGCCATTCGCGATCTTTACTCATATCTATCTGCGATGTCGATGCCGAGGATGTCGCAGATTGCGCTCGAAGGATAGCTAACGCGGATTTTGAATCTGCTTGGATAGCAGAGAAGATTGTAGTTTGGGACATTGCTGACCAGAAGAATTTCAGAGCTGGGATTTGACCGCCCCTGGGAATGGTCATTGAGCCCAAATACAACCACATTCTGATTTCATCCCCACGTCGAGGAAATATTCTTAACAAAGTGAGCGAATAGCTTGCAAGCAGACTGGCGTCCTCTTCTCCAGCTGCGGACGCCTTCGCATAGTCAACGTTAAACTTCTCCAATAGTCCTGTAATACTATCTTGGTTGACCAATGAAAGTAGCTCATCTTCAATAAACTTAGGCAACGGAGAGGCAGATCTGCTGTCGGTTTCGTCGTCATCCAGGTCTTGTAAGGAAGTAGGGTCATTGACATCGATTCTGCCAACGATATCTACTGAGGAGCTCGATAATTGCATAGACAATGCTCTGATGTAGTTTGACTCCTGGTTGTTTCGCTTTTGCAAACGATGAAGGGAGATAAAGTGAGCTAGGAGCCAGAGCCGTGCATCATTCTCAATAGCAATTTCCGCGTTTGAAGCAAATTCTCGGATTAAAGCTGCCGATATAGCACCCACTTCGACGACTGATGCTAACTTTTCCAAGCCCCCAAGCACGGTGTTTAGATTTGGAGTAGTCAAATAGTAAAGTGCAAAAGCTGCGTATGCATCTAGGAGGGTTAAGTCTAAGACGAGTTAGAAACATCAGACCTCATAACCAACAGGAAATGCAATTGAGAGAGCAAATGACTTACCATTATTGTGATCCACACGCTGTATTAATGGAGTCCTAATGGCAGATAAGAGAATATTATTATCGATGTTAGCACAAGTCTCTTGGGCGCAAATAGTCGAAAGTAAGGTATAATAAGCTTGGCTGATTGCTGGAAAGCACTTTGGATTTCCGTCAATAAGAACTACGAGAAATTGTAGCAGAATTGAAGAAGAACTTGGCAATAAACTTGATTTATGTTAGCCGCGGCTTTTAAAATTCGGCTCTCGTTCGTAGTCCTACCTCTGTAAAGCCTCGAGCGTTATACTAGCCAAACGCCGACGATGGATCTGAACTTGTGGAAGTCGTAAGAATTCTTCATGTCCGAACTTTTGTATTTTCTGGCACAATATCGCCAGCCTTTCGATATCATCTCTGTGTCTACGATTGAAGAACGCCACTATCAGCTTCACTTGTTTTACCACCAGCTCACTCGAGTCTGATGAAGTCCCGAGCTCTTCGTTTGACTCATCCCACACTTTCCGCCTCGAATTCGCCAATTCTTCTCTTGTTCTGTGCCCTCGCCATGTTCTCTGTATTCTTTTCGCGGCATTCAAACGATCTCTTTCCTGTTGGCGCTGCTGGCGTTCTTGTTGGGCATTTGCCACGGTCTTTCGGGTTCCTGAAGCTGAACCTCCCCAGCCCGCGGCCGCAAAAGGATTGGTATTTTGACCAGACAGGTTCACCTGTCGAGCTCGCTTGGAGTTTCCGCTGAAAGTCTGGAACATCTCGATGTTGTCTCTGGTTTATTGGAGTTCGAGCTGTGAAGGTCACTTATCGTGGCCGGCATTCGAAAGACATGCCGCAAGTCCTCGGGAGCCCAGTATGGAGTAAAGCTGCATGCAATTTCGACAAGCTTTCGAGTTTATTGAATATGCGAGTTTGTTCCTAGCTCAAAATACCCCTTTCGATGTGTTTCTGTCGTATGTGTAGCCTGCTGTAGTTGTTGATTACCAAACATAGGAATAGGCTTCTAGAAGCTCAGTATACATAATGTACCGAAGTAACCCCGGTTGCCGTCATCGAGGCCCGCCTCGCGAACCGTTCACCTTTCTCCACGACAATCTGTTTGTGTTTAGATGATAAGCTTAGAGAAGGGCTTATATATTTCACATGTTCCGAAAGCAATCATTGGGCAGTGTCACTCGATTTCAGCGCGGATTTGACTCTTCATCACTGCTTGCATTTTTCATAAAGCCACAGAGAAATACCAACCACCATTTCATCTCATCATATGCTATACTGGACCGCGACGGGGACACTTTCTTTGATGATGTGCGTCGCAGCGTCATCTATTTTTTTCTACCTCATGAGGACTTTCAGCCGCCACTTCCCATATCCCAAAATCCAGTTTCCATCTTCTCGACAGTTAGCCATCCGCGAGATACATGTAAGTGGGAGTTTACCTTTGTGGCATGGATGAATATGGCAACCAGCTCTTCTATACGACTTGGCGATTGGAGAACTGCATGTCTCTCTATTAGGTCTACAACGTTGTCAATACTGGGACATAAGCTTGCTTGGTGCCACCAACCAGAGCCTACACGAACTGCCTCTACGAAATCATCTGCAACATAGTTTTCTATCCACTTCCAATAGATGTTTCCTTCACGTTTCGTTTTTGGGTCTGTATACAGGCGTTGAGCGATATGTCCATAACCTATTAAACATGGGGCCATAGCAATTTGCAGAGCAAACCAATCTTCTGAGTGGCCGATATCGAGCATATATCTAGCATAGTCAGCACATGCTCTGGGAGGTATTCGGTTTTATGATAATTCTACCTGGTATACGCCGTGCATGCTTCCTAGTGTTAGTTGAGGTGAGGTTCAAGTTGTGCACACGTACCTTGACTTTCTTCTGCATTTTCAATCTCCTTCCTCGTCATCCCAAAACCCTCACAATACTCAATATGAAGAGACATTTCATGGTGGATATGAGATACGATTCTCGCTGCCTACATTTAGTTAGCAAGAATACGACAGTACAGATGGCGGATACACTCTACCGCAGCAACATCCTCCATGGTCTTCGCTTTATAGCCGGCCAATGAACTTGCCCTCGCAAAATGAATCTTTCATTGTCAGCAAAGATCCCTTATTACTTCGACTAAATACTGACCAAGTACAGATAGTCTTGCACTAGATAATACTTAAATGATTCAACCGGAAGACTGCCATTAGCAAGCCCCGCCACGAAACTATGCTCCGTATGCTCCTGCCAAGCTGCCTTGACATCAGGTCTATCGAGTAGATACTCTACAAAACGGCCACTACGTAGAAATCAGTCCTAGCGTACTCTTGACGGTTTCTCCATGGTGAGGAATGACTTACGGTGCGAAAGGTAACATGTAAGTCGAATGAAAATGGTTAATTGGGCCACTTCCTTGGCCTAAATCCACCGCAGTCTTGATGCCAGCTTCAACATATCTGCACGCACTTTTGACCGATTGAATCATCGGTAAGCCGCTCGCGAGGTTGGACGCAATTGCAGCTATCCATAAGTGTAAGAAAGCCTGGAGGTTCTCACAAAGAACAGTCACTTACATGCTAACGAACAACCTGTACCGTGGGTGTTTTTCGATTGTTGATACGGTGATTGGATCCGAGTAACTTGATCCTCACCGTATAGGATATCAACCATGATCTCCTTCTCCTCCTCTGTCCTTGCAAGTGTGCCATCTTTTTTGAGGGGAAGATGACCTCCTTTCAGAAGTACGTAGGTCGGGCCAAGACTTTGCACTGATTTGGCAGTTTGTATTAGATCATCAACGTTTTGTGGTTCACCAACCTCTTTTCCGGCATCTGAAAGCAAAAGAATCGCTTCAGGCACATTTGGGGTGAGTATCGTGGCTCTAGGAAGAAGCTTTGAACGCAGTTCGCATACTGCCTTCTGCGGAAGTAACTGAGACCCGCTAGTTGAAACCATAACCTATTGGCATTAGTTGTTGGTCGCCATTGAGGGTAGTAATCGTACAGGATCAATAACTAGAGTTTTCACATTGTGTTTCTGAAGAGCATTCGCCACGACATTGATTGTCTCAGCAGAAGCCAACATACCTTCGGCGAAGTTAGACTAGTCTCACAGCATAATTTGGAAAATGCATCGACAAGATTAAGAACAGCCCATACCTACCCGTTTTGACAACATCGACACCAATGTCCTCAATACAGAGGTCAATTAATTTTCCAACAAAGTCTGATGGCGTGTAATGAATGTCTACCACTCCTAAGGTGTTCTGAGCTGTCAATGCTGTGGTGGCCGTCATTGCATAGCACCCATGCGCTGCAATAACCTTCTGATCGGCCTCGAGACCACTATCATACGACCAAATCTATTAGCCATGGAAACTCGCAAGAATGGAGAGGATTTCCAGATCGTTCTGATAATACTTACGCTCCCCCGGAGCTATCAGAGCCTGCTATTACTAGAATACGACCTTTTGCCATTTTTGAGATGATGGATTCGAAATCGCTATTTGTGGTAAGAAACAAATAAACAGTATTTTCTCGCATCACCGGAGGATTTACGACAAGACAGGTATTACGTAACAACCTATTACAAGTTACTGCGGTCAGATCGGAACATAACACGATTTCAATCGTTTCAGTGGTTTTAGCTCCTAAAGTTATCAAGACTTTCCGTAAATCACCATTCATAAACACCACTTGAAATGCATCGTAAGCCTGATGTAGCTATTTTTGCCACAACATATATTTTGGTGTCACATGCATGCCTTCCTCACTCGCTTGTGGCTCGAAGGTGTTTACGAGTCCTAGAAGCTAGTAAAGGCTGGATTCATGAAATCTACCAGCTATATTTCTGACAACACTACCTGTGAATACTTCCGAAACGTCTTCGATGATCTCTTTTGCTACCTTATCAGTCTTTAGGTGTAAGTACGATACAAATGACTCTAGTCCCAAGGGTCGCTGTGATTGGTCGGTGCACGTACCATGCTTGACCTACGCTGGTGTTCTTTCTTCCTGTTTCATGAATACCTCTTCTTCAACATGAGTGATCAATTACAACTTCCTCGTCAGTATCTATATAAAATTGGGTTTGAGTTCGTCCTCACATTATTCATCACAGACTCAGAATTAAATTAGAACTAATAGCATTTCCTTCAATGAAACAACAAATATGGTAGATATCCTTTTGCTCCACATTACTAATTGGCAATGCCACTTCTCACTTTTCGAGTCTCGAATATGACCTCTTACTTAGTTCTAACTTGAATAGGCATCCCGGACGACGTCAAACAGCGATAAAGGAGCTTGGAGTTCTCTCCCACAAGAACTTTGGTCAATTGTATTTGGCTACGGTTCCGTGAAGGGATTTACAGCGGTGAGCCTCGTATGCAAGCGTTTGCACATCGCTGTTCAACCCTTTTTATACTCCAAGTTCTCATGGATGCCAAAAGACGATGATCAGCTTCCTCGAGTCTCAGCTTTGCGCGGGGTAAGCATAGCGCAATGTACCAGATCTAGAAGAAAGGAAAGAACACGCGGCCTTTATCCCTACAGCCCACCACCATACAGACTGCTTCAAACACTGCTCAAGCGTCCGGATCTCGCTCAATATATCAAAGAAGTCGAGCTACTTATGGTAACACCTGACACCGGGGTTTTCCACGATCGTTATGATGCTCGTGAAGGTGGACTTAGCAGGGTTGAATTATTAACTCCAGACTATGATATTTCTGGGGAAATACCTTTTCATTTTATATTACGTACACTCTCGGGGTTAAGAGCAGGGCAGTTGGAAGCGTACATGGCAGTTCTTCTTACACTTCTAACGAATGTTAGAACTGTCAACTTTCGACTACGAGGTCCTGTAGTGAACCATTTGATGATGAAGGCTCTGGTCTATCGTCCAGGCCGTTCAATGAAGACGTTGAAGTTTACCACCGATTCAACATCCGGCTCAGGTACTAGAAACTTTGGACCCTGGCTAAAATGGCATCGAATTGATGCTGCTCTACCATCTATTCTATCATTGCCTGGGATTGAGTCATTATACGTTGAGGAACTGGTATGTTTAACTACAACCTTCGAGTTTTCACTTCTGGCGTCCAGTACACTGTTCAGTACACTCAAGAGACTCAGCCTACCTCGTAGTAATATCACAGAGTTACATGTCGGTTCACTGCTTATGGCGATGCCGAAATTGGAACATTTCGAGTGTCTCCTCGCTTATGATCAAAGTGATAATGAGAGGTGCCACGGAGAAGTCCTCAGCCTGGCGTTGAGTTTTGTCGCGGAAACACTAGTATCGCTCAGCTTGGGAATTGACATTCTTCGCCCTCAACCCACACTTTGGCAGGTTGCGAAGCCACTAGGATCATTGAAGAATTTCAAAAAATTGGAGTAAGTTGAGTGCGTAATTTGGTTCATGCGCAAAGGGATTGACACGATCTAGAACGTTACATATACCCATTGCTCTTCTGATAACCCCGGAAAACGTGGATGATATCTCAGAAATCGACGAGATACTTCCGCCAAATCTGGTATCTTTCACTCCCAACTGGCGCGACCCAAGAGTAGCTACCTCGGCTCTGCATTACGAAACTACCAGAATGGTTAAAATATACTACGCTAAAAGATCATGGCCTTTATTTGATGCACCTAAGTATTAGGTCGCGCTCAGTGCCACTTTTGACAATATGAAAATGGCAATGGAAAGCTTTGTTAGATCTACGCAGTAGATAAATCGAACAATCATTTCAAAGAATGAAAATTAAGGCATCCATCTATATTTCCTACCTGGATGCCAAATGTATACGGACTATGTACTTTCAGAACAGAATCAAATATTTACAGCGAATTCTTCCGACAATCCTCCTTCTCCTACATCGAGAGCCCATAGCTCTTCCACTTACAAAGCTGCAATGATAGCATTGTAGGCGGCCTTCTTGTTATAGCTTGCGTCGAACAACAATGGGTTGTTGCTTGCACGCCAACTGTCTGGATCTCTCAATCCCCAAACGGTAATGCCTATACATTTTGGAGTGTTCAAACATCCATTGACGACAGAGACGTAGTCGCTGCTTCCAGCATTGACGATATCGACTACATTTCGGAAAACTGTGTTAGCGGATGCTTGCAGAAGGATGTGAGATCAAATCTATGCAAAGTATAACTTACGTTCAGTGACTGCAACTTCTGAGACTCCTGATGCCGCAAGGGCCTGGAGAGCACCTTGTGCTGCCGCACCTTGGCCAGCTTGAAGATGAGCTTGGGAACCGATACCATCAATGGGAATGCCAGCTGCGAGCCATTTCTTGACGTGTGCGACCACTGGGGGTTTGATTAGTCGCTGAAAGCATATATGAACATGGAGGAGGGAGACTTACTTCCGGTAGTGACTTTGGCGTAAGTAGCTGAGTCAAGATTGTAATCGTTGATATACAATTTTGCCTGTGGATCCGCCTTCTTCGCGGCGTTGAACGCGATCGAAACGAAACTCTCACCCAAGACCTTACTCCACACATCAACTCTGAGACTGCCGTTCTCTTCGAACATCTCGTTTATGACGTCCTAACTACTTAAGTATTCGAGTCTTCAAGCTTATTGGTGATTGATATGGACTTACCCAAGCATAAATCTTTCCCTTATACCGTCCCATCACATTCGCGATGTGATTCTCAAGGACAGCTGTCAAGGTGCTAGCACTTGTGATGCTAGCAACCCAGTTAGGCAGTTGGCTGTGCCATAGTAAAGTATGTCCTCTGATCACCTTACCATTCTTGGTAGCGAAGTCGACAAGGTAATCTGCCTGGCTGAATGTGAACTTGTTTTGAGTGGATTCAGTTGCATCCCTATTGCACATCCGTTAACACATGAGAATTCTAACTGCTTGTCAGATGGCAGTAGACATCAGAACATACCATTTCATAGAGTTCTCGGGTGAGACAGCCCCGAAGTTGGCTTGGATCAATGCGGCATTGCTCCCGGTGGTCAGCAAGCCTTGGTCTGTTGCGATACCAAAGTATTTCTTGCCCTTTGCACGGAATTTCGCGTCGATACTTCCAGTACCACCTGTACTAGAGCCTACACTGAGTGGTCCTCCAGTTGGACTGGTCGCTGGGGGAGTGGTTGAAGCGGCTGGGACTTTGGAAGTAGACAGCGTGGTCGGGATAGCAACGGCAGTGGTCTTTGTCGATGCTGGCAGTGCTGTACCAGGTATACATTGGGAGTAGACTTCGCTGTCTTAGCTTGTGATGTGGAAAACTTGGTATATATCACTTACAGTCACTTTAGTATGGTTAGCACAATCGTAGCTGTATCATGGAAATGGGACCTTACTTTGAATAGGTACATGTATATCCACTGACACATGTGGTAGCACCAGCCCAACCCTTACCACCGCCTGTTTTCGTTAGTTTCTTGATCCATAACACAGAAGTTGAAGGACCTACACTGGGCCCAAGCTCCACCTTGCGCGATAGCAACACCGATTTGAGCGATGACCGCAGCCAAAGCCGCAATGTTCTTGATGTTAAACATATTGAGCTGTGTTCAGTGGTGCAAAGTGTGAGGTTGAGAAGTGACAAAACCTGGGCGGACCTCTAGACATATATAAAAAAAAGGAAGTTCTAGGCCAAGCAGAGGTAAATTTCAGGAGCATACTAGCTCGATATCTCAACGTTTATTATTGCGGATCAGATGAAAGGAAGCCCCAAACCCGCCACCAACTCCACCACGGAAATCTCCATTTTTTCGTGTATCCCAAAGAAGATCTATTATTGCTTGAGTTTCCTGCGAGTACCCGTCGAAAGCACAATCGTAGTTTCTCCTTTCCGACGTTCCGATTTGTATACAGGCTGATTATCAAGATCAAGAATAGTCAATACCTCCTTCATTGAGTCGTCGTTCCGACTGCTAGCCCAGATTTTTCCAAGTCAAGAAGACAAGCAAGATATTTCCATAAATCATGGAGCACTGATGAGAACACTCCGTTCTGTTTCTGCACTATGATCCGACTGGCCCGCAAGAGAGCATCGTCACGGTAGTGGGAATTGATTAACCCACGTGCCGATCCTTCTGCATATTTCAAGTTGAGCCTAAAGAGCATCGCAAGGATAACAACGACTCAAAGGACAAGTCAGACAATTTCTGTAAGGCCGAGGCATGATAGAGTCAGCAAGGGGCCGTTCGTGGGGACCCCATGATAGGTTTTGCCTAAAAGGAAATATGATGCAGCGTCTGGGTCGCTTGACTCCACCTTAATTAAAGGAAGCGCCAAACGCAAGGGGTGAAACGACTATTTTGCATTACGACCTCAATAAAAAATAACCCTTATCGTCCGTACTACTCTATGTGAGTTAACCTTAATGCTAGGGGGGGAAATACTTGTGGAGCAAATGATCCAGAACGAAACTTAATACCAATCATTGGGGACAAATGCCGGCGATGTGCATGGGAAGTCGCCTATGACCCAGGTTATTAACGCTTAGCGCAGATCGATCTATACGACGATACGTTGTATTTTTTATTACGGAGTAGTGCGGCTTGTCCAAAAAGCTACTTTTGTAAATCGCGACAGGTATTGAACAAGGGGAGACTATGGTGGAAAGGATGAGACGAAAATAGCGCCCATTGGATAATGCTGATTTAAACCGCTGACAACGCAACATCGAAACTCGCTGCTGCCTTCGTGTAGTTCTCGTCCTCATGCAAGTGCAAGATGCCGTTGTGCTTGCCAGCAATTGAACGCCCCAAACACCACTCGCCCGCCTCATAACTTTTGTGCTCTCATCGGCCCATGCATCATTATATCATTCTAGAATTAGATGTGTACGGCGGCAGCCCGTCTCTATAGTGCCGCTTCGTAAATAGTTCATTGATTTGTCCTGCTTTCCTTCATCACGACATGTACGACAACAAAACGTTCTTAGCCTCTTCCGACAGGCGAGTATTGACATATCCTGCAATCGCACCCGAGTGTCGTTCGTCAGCCTTCTTGAGATACGACCCAGCCCACTGCTTAACATCAGTGACATCTGGCCAGTCGTCTCTTGGCTGTTTCTTGCAAGTATTGAGAGGTGTGAAGCCGACACCAAAGCTCAAATCATCGACGTCAACTTCAACCACGTTGTCATCGGACGTTACGGGCATTGGTGGGTTTTCTAGGAGCTTCAGCAAAGCCTCGCAAGTCTTTCCCCATCCTTTTTGATATTTGACGGCGAAAGCCTGAGAATCGGCAAGTGTCTTGGTGAGGCCAACTACAGCAAGCTTACGATCAAGTGGACGGGCGAGTTGCTGAGTCGTCGGCAACACAATAGTAAGGTATATTGGAACGAAAACACCATCTTGGACCGTATCACAGTTCCGGATGAAGAAATCTGCACCAAGGCCATCCTCGTCATGTGATGCAACAAGATGGTAAAATCGAACGAATCTTTGCTTAAACTTCTCGGGTGGGTTGGAATTCAAGCGGGTGAATATTATGGTGAGAACAGTGGGGAAGTATTGCTCAATACCGGAACTATACAGCTGCATTAGAAATTATCAGGAAACGGGGAACTCTAAACATACGCAGGTAAGGAGGTCAACAAAGCTTCAAGAATGTCGAAGGCGTATATTTCAGTAGACTTCTTGGTCATCAACTTTTGAAAGATGCCAAGGATAGGCTCTACCTGATTGTTTTGGACAATACCTTCGGCGCCCCTCGGAATAATTGATGTTAATAATCGTGCAAGCGCTGGCACACTTCCCTTGTTTTCCCATGTTGCAGGGACTAATACGGACTGAGCAAGGTGCTGATAGTACTCGGACAAGTTTCCGTGGGGGCGAGACTCGAGGAGCGCAGCAAATAATTGAAAGACATACGGCATGAACTCTAAACATCTTATAAGCATATCTTCGGCAGTTAGAACAAAGAAGTCTTACCTTGAACATCCTCTGAGAGAATGCTTGCGAAAGGTCTGTATAGATCGTTTTCGAATTTATCTTGATTTGATGGTGCTGCATATCTTACAAGTGCTCCGAGAGCTTCGAAATGGTAGTAGTAGAACCGAGGATTACTTGGGTTTTTGGCGACAATATCAGTGATATGAATCAAATGCGCAAGAATAGTGTCCGCAAAATCGACCACGCCGTCTTTGATAACAATCAGAACTCTCATAATACAGCGCATGAGAAACTCATTCTCTTGCAGCTTTTCTGGGGCTGGATCTGCCTCGATCAACTGAAATAAATGGCTCAACAAATCCTTGGCAAGCGGTTGCACATCGCTTCGTCCAAAAACATGCTGCCCGGAATCATCAGTGAGGAACAAAACTCGTTCTACCGCGATAGCAGCATACGTATACACAACGTAGTTAGGTGAGCCCAAGTTTTGGACCAACGGTGGAAAGGCGGCTGTCCACTGAGATTTGGTCAATTGGCGCCGGAAAGTGTAAAGGTATTTGATAGCATCAACCTTGATGATCGGCTCTACTCCATCAGATTTTAGAAGATCTCCGGCAATGTTCTCCTCGAAAAATGAAAGGACGTTGACAAGGGAATTAGTAGTTTTGATTCCTTGGCTAGTTGTTGCTGCACCCTTGGCGGCAATTGCTGAGAAGAGATAAATAGCGGTATCCTTAGATTTCCACTCGCTTGAGTTGTGTTTAAATGCATCGAGGTAGTGTTTGATGTATTGTCCAACAACATCTGTAACCAAATTCTCAAATTTATCAAGAAGTTTTCGCAAGAAGTCGGTTGCTGCCCTCCGCCGTGTATCTGTATCGGAGCCCTCCAGATCTCGTCTAATGTATTCAATTGGCTCATCCTCAAACTGTTCAATGTCCGACTCTCGTAGGCTAACGTTAGGTAGGATGACTTTTTCCACAACCTGACCCAAGATCTCTGGATTGTTGAAGTTCTGAGCATGAGTTCCGATACTGGCGACTGCTGTCAAGAAATGTAAGGCTTTGCTAACCAGGATGTCATATTTTGTTTCCGGGCCAATCGTTGTCAATAAACTCCATGTGCTTGTGATAAAGGGTCTGCATAGTTCCCCAAATGCATCTTCATATTTCTGCATATAAAGGGTCATTGCCTCGCATATGCCAGCCTTGACAAATTCCAACAGGCCAGACTCAGAATCATCGTCCGTAGCCAAAAGTGGATTATCATAGGTCAAATATTTGTGTAATAGACCTGTCACATGTGCGAGGTTCTCTTCGAAAATAGGCGGTAGATCCTGGCAGGAGAGATCGTAGAAGAGCTTTACTAAAAGGTTCAAGACCTCGACGTATTGTTTAAGCACATCTTTGTTGTTCTTGTTCGCCTCAATTTGCTGGTCGGTGCTCTGTATTGACGCAAATTAGCTAAAAGTCGCTTGTGAGAAAGCTGGAAGGGGACTCACCGCTAGTAATTGGACAAAGGGTTCCCCGAACCTGAAAAGCACATGGTTGATCTCTGTGTAAAGTTCGTCGGATGCAAATAACGGCCTCCAGCGCTTGAAAATAGAATGGGCGACTTCCAGAACACCGAGGTTAACTTTCGGGTTGTCTGGCGTGAGACGGGACACCAAATCCTAGCAACTTATAAGCTCAGCCATGCAGTCATTTTCCAATTGTACTAACATCGACCAGAGTTTCCCATCGTGTCCAGAAATCAGAATCGGCAATCACACTGATAGATTCTCCTAGCTGAGCTTGTATACTTGACGGTACCGAGGTCATAAGTCCAATAAGCTGACTTTTAATCGTAACGACCTCATTCTGTTGTAGCTTATATGTTCCATCTTCTTCCTGCGACTGGGATTAGCCGCTCGCGCTGTGCGAAGATTGTGGGAAACCCTACCACCCAGTTGAATTTAATGAAATTTTTGAAGCACAAGGCCCCAGCAAGTCGTGTGTTCAAGGGGAAGTCTTCGGTGGAAACGATTTGGAGGAGGAGGAGGGAGAAGTTCGGCTTGTTCTCTTCTTGCTTCAGTGCAACCTCAGCTAGAAGAAAATTAGTAGGTACAAACACAAATAAACAGCTTTGAAAAGTACCTTGTTTGTGTTGCCGCGAGTCAAGAGTAGCGTGTAAAAGCTGCGCAACTTGCCCCAAATCTAAAGCCATCTTTGCGTATGAAAAGCAGATAAGAGCTGTGATGTGGAAACGGTGCGGATTGTTGCAAGGCCAAACGTTCAGCAAGAGAGATGTTGCCGTCGCGACAACTTTGGTAGCCTTGTTTGGCTCCTGAGCCAATGAGAACCCAGCTTGGACCGCGGTTCCCCCGATGCGCCGCTAATCCCGCTGCCACGGACAATATCCACACCCATATACAAACTATTTGCACCCTCCTGGCAAGGCGGCGTCATGCAGAAATGGGCGCTCGACCTGTACAACAGTGACTTTATATAATTTTACTCGTCAACGTAAATGTTTGGTTAAGTAAAACATCTCGAATAAAAATATGAAACAGAATTGCCAGACTTTTCAAAATGCTATGCTGTATTAATATGGGCGGCAATGAGCTTGTGCTGCTTTTCTGCGAAGTGCAAGGATCTGCGACATGCAGATTCAGTACTTTATTTCCGCCTGGCTTTAGCTTGCTCTATAGAAAGTAATGCTATCATTCGGATCATCTGGCCTCGTCTTCATCCAAACCCCTCCGACGATCCTTTTGCTGTATATATCTGATGTCCAATTTCTTGCGAGACTGTTTGCAGCGCTGGTACGATAAGAACTGCCACTAGTTGGGGGATACTTGGAAATGCAAGATTTTCACTCCACTTCGCTGTTTTCATCTTATCGACGGTCGACGTCTCTGCTGTGAGCCGCAACTACGAACAACCTGGACGTATTCACGCATGCTCGGATGAGAACACCGTGGTTGAAGTGAGTGTGACTGTGTTCAGCTTCGAATTAATCCATTTCACTCCGTGACTTCCACCCCGGTGTTGACTGGTTTCTCATAGCCCCGCGCATAGCTACTGCTTGCGCAAGGCGACTCATTCGCGGGGCTACAAGAATTTGCACTCGACGGACACAGCATTTTCCCAACTCGACCTCTCCCCACTGCATATGGTTATTAGACCTCTTTTGCCTGGCAATGATACATGTGGATTCCGTTATTTGGCGAGCTCGCTGACTGGTGTACATTGCGATCTAGAACCTTACTTTCCTCCTCCGACTCCCATTCTCCAGACTTCTATGTCTCCCCCGTCCGGAGATGTTTCTCACACCCCTGAACCTAAGTCGAGCGGCGGATTCGCGAGTGTTTTCAAGAGTTTAACTGGCGGGGGAAGATCGTCGCGGGGTCTGAATGCTCAAGCTGCGGCTCCTCCTGCTCAGCGCCTCGATGGAGTCAGCAGCATCCAGTCCCCGTTATATGGAGGTCCGCCAGATTACGAACAATTGCACGAGCTGCTGAAAATTGGAAATCCGTTGCCGGAGAGAATTGCAGCGGCCGGGTCTATCTGCCACGCAGTACGAGACTATCCTCTGAGCGGCGTACGTAGAGTAAAATGCTGAAGTTGGGAGATAACTGACGTTTGGTAGGTCACAACCATATTTCGGGAAGCCAAGGACTTGATCGAGCCCACGAAGCCAATCGAATCGCGGGTAGCTGGCTTCCAGTTGTTGACAGCCTGTGTTCAATATGCTTCTTCGACAGACCCCGAAAGATTAGCTTATTACAATGTTCTCACATCGTCAAATGTCAACCCTGAAGATTTCAATATGCAACTGGTGGCTCTGGTGGAACTCGCAAAACACGGCAAGGAACTTTCGGGGTTTCATTACGCATTAATACCTCTGCTCACGTCATGGCTACAATGGTGCTTCAAAACGACAGCGGCTGCGCGGAAGAAGGCAGGGCACGCTGGAAAGTCCAAAGGCAAAATTCAAATCCCTGAGGAACATGATCTCTCTTTGCTCTTCGCCTTCATCGCGGATGTGATCAAGTTCAGTTGCTATGTAATCACTGAACAGGCCACTGGAGAGCTTATTGATGTGGTTCTCGGGATCTGCTTGCAAACACCATTATCCGGCGATATAAGAGCCTGCATCAGCATTATAGACGCCATTATCACTTTTGGAGAAGTACCAAGTGGGAAGCTGATGGACTGCATTAAGGTCATATCTTCAATTCACTGTCTGGTTGAAGATGCCGCGCCGGCGGCCTGGAATACTATCAAGAACTTCTCTACCTCACACAATGGACAAACCGTAGTCCAGATTCTCTTGGATATTCTGCGTAATCCTATCATAGACGGGGACACGGGAAAGCAGAAAGTACGGGAAGTTCGTGGAGCCATATCCGTCTTACAAAACCTCTTCGCCGAAAATGGGGAGGATCGGTTTCCGTTGGTCCCATTCACGCAGCTCGTCCAGGCTCTCGATACCGTAACGACTGTCGAGCACTCGAAATTGGATCTGGATCTCCTGAAGCTTGTCCTTTCACTGTTCGGTGACGAGAACCGTCAAGTCGGACAGAATGTCATGGAGGAAGATTGGAGCGCACTATTTGATGTGGTTGTGAGATGTTCACAGCGTGCACTGGAGACTCCTGATGGACGACAGCTTTTCCATCGTTCACGATTCGCTCACCATCTATCAAGTGAGGATCCACCTGAGCATGGCACCACAGGCATCGCACAAACTCTGTACAGACTAGTTATCCGAATTGAGAACCTATTCGTCACCCACGCCGACGAAGACTTTATCCAACAAGAGGATTGTGTTAGATTTTTCGCTCGTGTGCATGCACATCTACCAGAGTCTTGCGCCAGACTCGTAATTGATCATTTTATAGAATACCGATATTGTTACCCTTCAAACATCAGGTGGAAGGGTAACGTCAAGACTATTTTGGACGCATTCTTCAGCGATCGGGAACAACCTACGAATATTCGTTTGCATGCCCTCAGAGCTGTTACAGATGTATTTCAGGTGGTTGAGATGATGCAAGATGAGTCCACGTCCAACGATCACGACGAGCCTGATATCGTACGTATGTTTGTCACAGCAATTTTAGACGACGTTGGCGATGAGAAAGATATTGAAATTCTGCAAGAAACAATTGCTTTTGCCGTCAGTGTTGCCGAGAATGCCGACCACGACTTATTCGACTACGTTATTCGTACCATCCGCGGCAGCATATTGACCGATCGACTCCAGTCACCTATGGGGTCTCCTGGCTTGTCTCGCCAGAATATACTAGGTTCACCTCATCCCTCTACGGGACCAACAGCTGTAGTGCAAACACCTTCTAACGTCGTGACAAGGGGCCTCATCTTGATCTGGATGAGGACAATGGATAAATCGACCTACAAGTCTGTCCGCACCTTCGAGGAAATTCTCAAGATTGCTAGTTCAGTCTCCTGCGAAACTGATGCTCGAATATCGGCCATGAAAATGCTTTTCCGCTTGAGGGCTGACTGGGCAAATAGAATACACATGGTCCTCTCTACCGACTCCGATGGTCTTGCTGCCTCGCTTTACCGTACTCCAGCATCTTTTGCAAGAAAACAAGCGATGGACGAGGCTTCTCAGCAACAACGAGCGTCGCGAGCTGAAGATTCATCGAGTCCCCGAACCTCACGGAGTGTCTCTTTCGGTCAGTCGCAACCTAGCTCCAGACAATCTCATCGTACAGCGAGCGGACTTGCGAGAACTGTACAACGTACTCACCAGACCTGGATGTGCCCAGATCCTGATGCTCTGCCTGAAGCAATTACTGGCAAAGCAAGCTCTCTGCTCATCTCTGTCTTTGAGAGCCGGAATAAGACCCACGATGCTGCCTCTCCCCTGCCGAAGGATGACGCAACAGAAGATGATGATAGCGCTGACGAAGTTGATAACGACGTGGATGATGATAATGAAGCGATAAAAAGCGAACCGCTACCAACACGCAAGCAACAAGCAACACTGAATATTGAAACGTATCTCGACACCATCACAAATCTATTACGAAATGGATGCGACTGGGAGGTATATAGCTTTATCTTGGTTCACTTGCCTTCCCAGCTCACTAATCAGGCACTGTTTAAGAAAGCGATCACTCAGATTCGAAGCCTGAGAGAAGTTGTTTGCGAACTCATTAAGAACAACAGCTTTCTTGACCCGCCAATATCTTCCGGTTTGCGTAAAGCTGACGTTGCCATCTGTCTTTTCCAGATACTCACCATGGTAACGGGCTATCACCAGCATTTTATGAGGCTTGAGCAGGACGATATTGTTAAGACCTTTCTACAGGGAATAGGCTCTACGGAAAGGACCGCGAAGTCATGCATTCACGCTCTGTCGATCTGCAGTCACGAAATGCCAGCCTCAATCGCCAAGTTAATGGTGACAATTCTTCAAAAGATGTCAATGATCATTACTCAATCACACGTGGCGGTTCATATTCTCGAATTCCTTGCTTGTCTTGCGAGAATGCCTGGTTTATACGTCCATTTCAGCTATGATGAGTATAAAACCATATTTACTATCTGTTTCCGCTACCTCCAATACGTAAGAGATCAGCCAGTAAAAGAAAACAAAGATACAACAGCTCGGAGCAGCTACCCCCATGCTCGGAACTCTTTAGCCGCTACAGATCACAGCCAAGCTGAAAGCAACTTTCAACCTAACACTTCAGACGAGTTGCCGCAATACGTCTATGCGTTGGCTTATCACGTCGTCATATTTTGGTTTCTTTCTCTAAAGCTGAGTGAGCGTGCTGGCCATGTTTCCTGGATAGCAAAATACCTCGTATCAGTAGACGCCAATGGAAAGGAGAAGATAGATGAGCAAGCACAGGTCACGCTGGACTTTATGCAGCGCAGTGCTTATGCTGACGTCGATGAATCCGCTGCAGACCCAACTTTCACGAAAGAACGATTTGGGGATATCTTGAAACGGAGGTGGATTGTAGGTCATAGCATCGTGACGATCGAGCAAGCTACACGAGGTGGTTGGGCTCAAATCACGAAACGTCAACCATCTGGGACCTCATGTTACATCATTCGTGAGAAGTTCAATCGACCCCCTGCCCACCAAGAACAAGTACCACACGATCATTCTCGAGAATCTCGGCCAGCTGATGCAAACGTCGTACTTCCTAGTCACCTCCTTCTTCAGTTAAGTGCATCAGTTCCGCAGTCTGGAGTTATGGGACGGCCAATTGCTCTCCCAAGTGAACCGGCTGTGGACCGAGCCATTGCTGGGTTCGACCGTAACTTTACTGTCGATGGACACAAAGTTGGCGTGATCTATATTGGAGAGAATCAAACCAACGAGGTTGAGATTTTGTCAAACATAATGGGCAGCAGCGACTATACGAATTTTCTCTCCGGTCTTGGTACCCTCACGAAACTGCAGGGCGCGAATTTCAATACCCAGGGATTAGATCGTACCAGCAACATCGATGGGGAGTATGCCTTTTGTTGGCGTGATCGAGTCACAGAAATTGTTTTCCATGTCACAACACAAATGCCGACGGACCTTGAAAGAGACCCTCAGTGTATTGGAAAGAAGCGGCACATTGGTAACGATTTCGTAAATATTATCTTCAACAATTCTGGCCTACCTTTCCGCTTCGACACCTTTCCCTCCGAGTTCAACTACGTCAACATCGTGATCACGCCGGAATCGCGAGCATCATTTGTTGCCACTCGGACTCGAAGTGAAGAAAGTATAAAGAATGCATTCTACAAGGTACAGGTAATGAGCAAACCTGGATTTCCAGAGATCTCACCGGCTGCCGAGACAAAGATCATGAGTCTGGCTGCTTTGCCTGGCTTTATTCGATTACTGGCTCTCAACGCTTCGGTTTTCTCTCTTGTTTGGGCAAACAAGCAAGGTGGAGAGCATGTCTCCTCTTGGCGCAACCGTCTGCGTGATATCAATCGTTTACGTGAGAGATACAAACCCAAGCCCTCGTCTGCATCGACACCTACCTCCCCACCTGGCACATCGAACGGTTCATTACATGAAGCCAGGAACGTGCGAGATAGCATCAGCAGCATTCGCCGGTCGTCAGTCGCAAACTTCATAACCAACAACAACGTTGGCAGCGAACCAAGTTCACAAAGATCTTCTGTTCTCTCAACTGCAGAAACAGAGGTAGGACCAGGTGGTACAGAAAGCATGGTCGAAACCCTTGATTTCTCGGCTTGGGCCTAAAATATTCTTGTTTTATTCTCTTTTTTTCAAAAGGCGTTTCCGGTCGGGGAATACCACACACCAAAAGTTATCTGATTTTATTCTCTTTCTCGTGGATATATCACTCGATTAATTGTTAAGCATTTCACAGCCGCAGGAGGACAGACATACATGAGGCGTAATTTTTATCATTGGACTTGGAATGTACAACATGCCTTTTTTAGCGTCTCTCATTACTGGATGTTGTTGTTCTTTGAATGAAGCAGGTGCTTTGTATGTATGAGGGATATTACCTGCCTGAGTGGAATTAGTGGAGATGTGCAGAAATAAACATGTCATGGTGGGACTTGATCTGTTGGTAAGATGACGTTCAGGCTGAGAGTATGGGAAGTGGAAGTGGAAGGGATAAAAGGTATTGCATAGTTGATTAGGAAATTAAATATTACATACATTATTCCCCTCTAAAATCAAAGCCGTAATTGAATACTTTTATACTGTCTATACTTGAAAGTTAATTAATGAAAGCCAATAAACTTCCGGCACCATTCCTCATTGTCACTATTTCTATATTTTGTTATTTTATCGGTCCAACTCATCGCAGCATCAAAAACTTCGTCCACTAGTCCTTCTTTATTTCGTCACTTTCGTGTGTGTAAAAATGAAAAAAAATTGTACTCCAAAACCGATATTATCCGTCTACTTAACATGTCACACTTTCACAAATGCCTCTGAATTTTTCAGAATTCATACTAGAGGAATTGACTTCTCGCTCTTTGATATAAGAAAGCACATATTTCGTGTCTGTATTCAACATAGGGCTCCTTGAAATCCCCATCGCGTTTTTGATTTTCTTAATGGTTAGATATAATTAACACGACAACTCTCGAATGCTACTTAAGAATAACATTAGAATCTTGCATAACTATAGGCAATTGATTTTCAACTACATGAAAGATATACAAGCAAGTTGATATGCTACAAATTGGGGTCAAGGGTTTACGTTTTACGTAGGAAAGGTAGCGATGTCACTTTATGTAAATTTTTTATTCATTAGCAACGGCTCACTTTATTCGAAAGGGGTGTTATTTTTGAGAAATAATAAAAATCGTATGATAATTCAGTGGTTCATAGATTTCAGCTACTTTGTAGTTAACTCCGACATACAGGTGTGATGTGATGAAAGCCTTTTAGAAAATCATGTTTACAATTGGAAATTATTGGAGCTCTAATTGAGACTTACCGAATTCACTTACATACGTTTGAAGTATTAGCAAATTATTCTTTTCATGGGCTTTTACTGCTTAAGACAAGCCATTTCGCGATTACGATGTAAAATGATGAATGGAATTGTCTCGTTTATAAGCTTGTCACAGCTTGCTTTGATACTTGAAGGTCTCAACTCTCGTTTTCATCAGCTTAATCTGTTGGAAATTGATACACTATTTCAGCATCAAAGAAAATGAAACCCGACTTTGCGGATGAGTTTTTTTTGGCTATTTGACGATGAGTATAAAATTTCTGTGGTTTCTATCCTAGCTATATCATTTAATTCAAGAAAAAGTGAAAAACATGACATCGGGTAAATGTCATCTTCCTCAAGATGTTTTGGTTATTTTAGTATTTCTATAGTGTTTATTTAGTTTTTTTCTAGATGTTTCATATTAAACCAATGGTTCTTCTACCAGAGAAGATAACACTTTGAGCTACTTAGTAGAGCGATAAATTTGACTTTAATTCAAAGCTTGTATTGTGATGCGTTCGAACCTAAAAAAAATTCTCACATGTATTATAGCATCGAGGTGATACAGTGCAAGTGATGTTGGATTATCTTGTGCATGGGGCATGACAGACAGGTGTGAATCTAGGTTCCCGTTTATCTACTCTGACAATTTGTGAAATGTACTCTCTGATCTCAAGGTGAAAATATAAATACTGGTTTAATTTCAAGACTGACAATAACAATTTCCAATCTACTCTTGTCTACCAATAAATCAAGCTACACGTAAACTCAACCCATCTCAACATTAACACAACACTCTTCACAAAACTACACAGTGCGAAAAGTATCTCAGTATCACATGCAGTCCACTGTCCACAACAATGGAAACATGTGACACAGCCATTGAATATTTAAGTCTCGTATTTGTATCTTGATCTGCCATGTACTCGGACAAAACCGGGTTTATGGAAGTAGAATAGCGAGGTGCGGGCGCTTCGTATATTGGAAACAGAATGCATGTTATTCTATCAAGAAGTGGAAATATTATCCCCATCCAGACCAAGCTCCCAACCCTCCACCTCCCCATCAGGAATTCCAAAAACCCGGATTGCCTCCACCCCAGGGTCGCCAACTCCCATCGACGCCACGCCTAGCTTCAAGCTGCTCAACCAACCTTTCCAAGCCAAACGCGCAAGATCACCACCAGGATCCCTCCAGCTCATCCAAGCAGACGGGAACACTTAGCTCTAGGCTCGAGCCACCATGACTAGTACAGACCAATAAGTACCTCCGCTACGAGTAAGGCGCTACGAATGTAAACACACAGACATGTTCCCTCTATGCTCCCACAGAGTAACTTTTGACGATCGCAAAGTCCTTCTGTAGTAGGAAGGGGAATAAGGTTTGGTTCCGATAACGGGAGCGAGGCAAACCAAGTGCGTAGGTCCGTTTCGGGGCAAGAAGTTGGAAGAGCCAGGGAACGTGAGTAAGTTTAGGTTTGTTGTATTTGCTTGTATGATCATATCAACAAGATCATCATGTCCGAAAGTGATGGGATTACCTGAAACATTTCTGTTTGAACAAGCCGGATGTTTCGTTTGCCGAATGGGTATTGCTCCAATCGATGAGGCAAAACCGTGTATTTCCTCGGATTACTAATTATTGGGTTTCGATCCTTGACAAAGTCCACCCTTTTTAAAGTGTTGATGTGGGTGCGGAAAGTTATCGCGTTCGGCATCCAGTATCCGGTTCCTGGCTATAGCAATAGCACGAGTAGTCGTCGTGTTTGGAAGGAGGGGCTCAGGGTACCGCGGTGAGATCCCCGTGGCGAAGGTGTGCCCCTCAGGTACTTCGTGACTAGTGAGATGGCCCCTGGGAGTATACTGTACAGCGCAACCTAGGAAGATGTTGACTTACTAATTGTCATGTTATGATCTTTATACCATATAAAGCAGGCCGTAATTTACCACTCTATTAACTCCCTTCGTGCGAGACATTGAAATGCAAAAGGCGGTGCGGTATTGATGTCCAGGGAGAGTCGAAGACATCTTTCCTAGGATAAAAGCAGCGTCGAGCAGGGAAACAGAAGCACCGCACCACATGCGGCACATCGCCCGACCTTCTCTCCCATCATCGACAACCTCCGCAGTGTTTGGTCCATGGTATCCCCAGCCATGCAAAGCTAAACCTTATTACTAGCGTTACGACCTTCCGACGTAGGTGAACTGTAAAGGTCACGATAGGGACTTGTTACTCCGCTAGCACGAAAAGGGCAATCCGTTTTGGCGACAGCAGAAGAGCTCTTTTGAACTGAGGCTGAGGGGTCTAGACTTGGATCTATATGCCCCTTTTCATGCTCTGGGATAAGCAAATGCACATGTACCATCTTGCTTGTGCTGCGTGGATGTTTTGGAGGAGAATCATCTGAAGAGGAAAAACCTACAGAAGTCTAGTACCGTTTGGGTAACTCATTTCTTCGGGGAGAAAGGATCGGGTAAATGCTTTGTGCTTTGAAAATGGAAGATCATTCGGCCTGAGTATCTGGGCGTGCAAGCATGGGCATTTTTCTGAACACCAATCACATATCGTATGAGCTTTCTTTCCACCATTTCAACAACTTTATCGCAAGGATAGCGATTTCGGGTTCAGGAAGAGCCTTCAAAACCCCGTCGATTGAGGCGAAAAAGTGACTGCTGGAAAACGCAAATGTGCCGTCGTTCCTCGAGGTTGCAGAAGGTGGTATTGACTACATGGCATTCCCGGCTCAGCTGAGCATGTTCATGTCATACTGAAAAGCTCGATGTACATTGTTGCTGACTATCATCCCTCTGATTTGCTGCCATGCTCTTGAGATGGATGGGACATTGATAAGTATTGTGTATGTGGACGCACGGTGACGAGACTCTCGGCCAAATCATGGGGACATTTTTCCATTCTGGTGGAGAAAAGGAAGTGGAAGAAGAGAACAGCTTAGGACTGTTTGTAATTGGATGGCTGATGTGAGTGCTTTTCAAAGATACCAGGATGAAAGAAATCACAATTCGATGTGAGGTGGAAATTTGAAGGGGCGGGAAAAGAGCAGGCCGCGTGTCCAAGTGCAGGACTGCAGGTGTGTCAAACTGTCCTCGCCTTCCTCCACTTATGGCGAAGGAAAACTGTCTGTATCTTTCCCCTCAAAGTAAAGTTGTCGTGACTCCAAACGCGGTCAAAAAAATCCGAGAAGAGCATTCTCGCTTGAATGGGTGGTCGTTGGTAGCCTTGTCCAGTTAGTACTATACTTGTGCTGTACTTTATCGCTTTAGCACTGTATCGCTTCGCTTCACTTCATGATCGCCCCTAAGCCCTGATCTAAAGAGTAGAGTTGTCTCGGTTGTCATGTTTTCGCTTTATGTCGCATGGCATTTCGACATGGCATTGTTGGTTAGCGGACGCTTGGCATGAACTCACCACTCAACGGGCGCAGATGAAGGAATGGCAGGGTGGCCTTTTGGGTTTCCCATAACCGTAGCGGCGGGACACTACTGCGAGTGCTTTTAGTCCAGCTGGAACTAGAGAGATGGATGATAACCCAGCAGACGAAACAAGCTTATCGAGTTAATGTAGCTTCGCGATAGCATCAATTTTATATCAACGTCCTTTGCAAGTTGCAACATTCACACAAGAGCCAACCCCGCTGTGTCCGAGTCAATCTGCCACTTCCTGCAGAGCCCTCCATGCACTTGGTGAAGGAGTCCCACTTCTGAGATGTGATCCTTTGGATCTCGTGCCGGCCAAGGACAGGTACAGTGATAAGTAATAAATT